ACACACACATATAAACATAAATATATGAGGAGACCCCCAAAAAAACAGAATTATTTTTTGGAGGGTGAACCCCTTGTAGTACAGGCTTCCCCCTCTAGGTAAGTGTTCTAGGAACCCATCAGTATCAATGCACTGGCTAGTGTTGTTGTGAGAGGCTGCATTCAGCTTCAGTGAATTTTTTTGGTGATTCTTTCAATGTGTTTGCCCATTTTATGATGTGTGATTCACGAACACAATTGCCCACACCACGGTTGAGTATTCACAGCAGTTTTTTTTTTTTCCAAAAACGGCATGACCCCTGTGCCCCACCCTCCCTATTTACCTGATCTTGCCCTGAGTGACTTTTTTTTTTTGTTTCCCCGGATGAAAAAAGTCCTCAGAGGGAAATGTTTTGTCCATGTAGAAGAAGTGAAACAAAAAAAGCAGAAGCACTAAAAGGTATCAACATGGACGAGTTCAAAAACTGTTTTGAGTAGTGGAAAAAGTGACTCCTTAGGAGTATTGCATCAAATGGAGAGTACTTTGAAGGTGACTAAGGCTTAAACATGTAAGAATAAATACACAATTTTTAATAAATAAATTTCATTTTGGGGGGGTCCCCCCAAGTATTTATTTCATTAAAAAATGGAATCATCGTCACAAACGAGAATACAACTTTTATTTTTAAATCATTGATCAAATCTGTGTTATCAAGAATGGCTCTAAATTATTCTGTGTATGGAGGAATCATTTTTAAAAACGATTCCCCTTTTATGCCATTTCTGGCTTTACAATTTTATTTATTTATTTATTTGAGTTGGGGTCTTGCTCTGTCACCCAGGTCGATCCTGCCACTGTACTCCAGCCTAGGCAACAGAGTGAGACACTGACTCAAAAATATATGTATATATATTTTAAAGACAGAAATTCTTTGTCTATCACAGTAGTATTCAATGTGTGGTCAGGAGACCCATGAGATCTTTTCAAAGGATTCTCAAAGTTAAATCCGTTTTTGGACTAATACAGGATTTGCCTTTTCTACTCTCATTCTCTCACAAATGTATGAAGTCTTCTAGAAACTTCATGACATGTTGATAATGCCATAGGCTGAATACAGAAGCAGAATTTATTATTGGTGTTTTTGTTTTTTTTTTAGTTGGAGTCTCACTCTGTTGCCCAGGCTGGAATGCAGTGACATGCTCACGGCCACCACAGCCTCAACCTATTGGGTGCTGGCCATCCTTCTGCCTAAGCCTTCCAAGTAGCCAGAACTACAGGCATGCACTACCATGCCCGGTTAATTGTTGATTTATTGTAGAGACAAGATCTCGCCAAGTTGCCTGGGCTGGTCTTGAACCTGTGAGCTCAGGCAATCCAATTTCCTCAGCCTCCCCAAATGCTGGAATTACAGGCTGAGCCACCGAGCCTCATCTATTATTGCTTTTTAAATGAATAAATAAATGCATATTTAAATGTGTTCTCAGTTCTAGTTTTGAATGTGGTAAATATTGACAGGTATAACTCATTTAAACAAAATATCTTTGAAGTCTTTAGGAATTTTTAAGAGTGCACTGGAGACAAAAAGTTTGAGAACTGCTTTTCTATCATATAGGAGAAAAAGTTGTCATAGTATGTCACTTGCCTTGGAAATGTAAAAAGAACATTTAACCAACTTTCCTCCTGATTTCTGATTCTGTTGACATACTTTAAGACTCCCTATCCCAAGGGTATCAATACCACTATTAAAATCCTACTAATCCCTTGGATAATAGATCAAATAGCACTTCCTCTGGGAATCCTTTTATTATATCCTCAGACTGGATCAGATTTCATGGTTATATGCTCTCAGACATCTAATACTTTTGTCATAATACCTGCCAAAACAGAAATGCGACCATTTTTGAGTGTTTTATATTGGACACTCGGCTGGAGAGGTCCATGTGTCCTGGGACTGTTGTGCTATGGCTGCCACCCAGTACCTAGAACAACACCAGCCATTCTCGCACCAGCACAAGTTCAGTGAATGAAGAATGAACAAATGGACATAGAAATACTTTTGTCTTTGGCAAACAAATGAATTAAGTCACATATTCTCTTGTATAACGTCATCATGTCTTTTTCTACTATTACTGCCATGGTATTTTTCTTCCATCCTTCCCCAGATAGATAAGGAGCAAATGCTGTGTTCAAGGCATGTTCTAGACGCTACAGTGATGGCCAAGATTGTCTGACCCTCTTACATTTTAGTTTGCGGGACATACTTTAAATGACTAGCCACTGAATTACCTCCTAATTCCAACAGCGGTAAAGCTATGAAGGAGATGCTGTCAGAGCACATAAAGTGGAACCTGATCTGGCCTGGGATCAGCAGGCACCTCCTTTGTTTTTTTGGGTTTTTTTTTTGAGTTGGAGTCTCACGCTGTCACCCAGATTGGAGTGCAGTGGCCACCCCAGGCAACCACAGCCTCGACCTGCTGGGCTCCGGCGATCCTTCCGCCTCAGCCTTCCAAGTAGCTGGAACTACAGGCGCACGCTACCATGCCCGGCTAATTTTTTGAATTATTGTAGAGATGAGGTCTCGCCAAGTTGTCCAGGCGGGTCTCCAACCTGCGGGCCCAGGCTATCCACTCACCTCAGCCTCCCAAGGCACGGGATAACAGGCTGAGCCACCGAGCCCGGCTAGGTGGCACCTCCTTGAAGAAGTGTTACTCAGCTGCTGTCAGAATGACAGTTCTGAATGAGGGAGAGATATGCATCTGCTAAGGGACCAAACGCCTGAAATTAAGAGGCAGCATGATGCTCTTGGGAAGAGACAGGTGAAGCCATAATACAGAGGGACTTAAGTACTTTGGTCTTTGACTTTTTTTTTTTGAGTCAGAGTCTCATTCTGTCACCCAGGCTGAAGTGCAGGCCATTTCAGCATCGACTGCTGGGTTCAGGCAATCCTTCTGCTTCAGCCTTCCAAGTAACTGGAACTACAGGTGCATGCCACAATGCCCGGTGGTTTTTGTCTTAAGAGTAATGGGAATGCAGATATGGATTTTATTTTTTTATTTATTTTACTTATTTTGAGTCAGGGTGTTTATTTATTTTACTTATTTTGAGTTGAGGTCTCACTCTGTTGCCCAGGCTGGAGAGCAGCAGCACAATCATGGCTCACCAAGCTTCAGCCTTCTGTGCTCAGGTGATCATTCTGATTCAGTCTCCCCAGCATCTGGGACTACAGGCATGCAGTAGCATGTACAGCTAGTTTTTTTATTTTTGTAGAGACAAGATCTCACTATGTTGTCTAGGTTGGTCTTGAACTCCTGGGTTCAAGTATTTGTCTTGCCTTGGCCTCCCAAATTGCTAGAATTACAGGCATGAGCCACCACGACCAGCCCACATGTGTATTTTAAAGGGAGCTATTGATTAAATGTGCACTGGTCTCTTACTGTAAAAAATAAATATTACTTACATGTCTTGTTTTACTAATTATTTCAGCCCAGAAAAAAAGTCCTTCATACCTAGACTAGAGTTCATTGTATTACTTTTGTATCCCTAAATAAAAACTCATTTAAATCACTGACGCTAGATAGATATTTATAAGGAATAAAAATAAATAAGGTTATTGTGAAACACCAATCAAACACAGAAAGTCCAAAGAAATGTCCAGTAATAGGAGTAAACAAAGCAGTCCTTTTCTTTTTCTTTTCTTTTTTTTTTTTGAGTTGGAGTCTCACACTCTCTGTTGCCTAGACTGGAGTGCAGTGGCATGTTCACAGCCACCACAGCATCAACCTGCTGGGCTCCGGCAATCCTTCTGCCTCAGCCTTCCAAGTAGCCGGAACTGCAGGTGCACACTACCATGCCCGGGTAATTTTTTATTTATTGTAGAGACAAGGTCTCGCCAAAGTGCCCAGGCTGGTCTCGAACCGGCGGGCTCAGGCAATCCACTCACCTCAGCCTCCCAAAGTGCTGGGATTACAGGCTGAGCCACCGAGCCCGGCCAGTCGTTTTCAAAGAGGCTGCAGTGTTCATTTAGCATCAGCAGATGGCGTAAGGCGTCATGTTACTACCACGGCTACCAGGAGCAGAGATGAAGTTACTTAAATCTCTGCTGAGTCAGGGGAGGAATGTCAGCTCCCAAACATACTATTTATATTCATGCATCATGTGACCTGGCTCAAATGTTTCAGCCTGGGCTTACTTTTCCACTCATACAATACAGTTCTCTCACTGCGAGTTTGTTTTACATGTAACAAATTTTAATAGGATTTATAACATCCAAAGTTTTCTTTTAAAAGTGTTTTTATAGTCTCCCTACCCCGTCCACTAGCAGATTAACAGGGCTCTGCAAATTTCAAGGTAAACACTATTTTTATTTCTCACTGGACGGAGGCCAAAGCTTCCCAGCAAGGAATATATACAGAGATATCTGGTAACCATCTTTTGTCTGATGATATGATTTCAATATTCTTTCCAAATACTTTGATATATTATAAGGCAACAAGCTTAGAAAAACACTCTTTTTGCTTACATATGAAATGGAGGACGTCTCAGATCTCCAAAACCATAAAAAAAGTATACTTTCCCCCCCTAAGCTACACTTAGAAATCAGGACTGTCATGAAGGTCTCTGGTTCTCTTCTTCCCTCAGACAAGCCAAGGACTTTCTTTTTTTTTTTCTTTTTCTTTTTCTTTTTTTTGAGTTGGAGTCTCACTCTGTCTCCCATACTGGAGTGCAGTGGCTGCTCCCGGTCACCGCAGCCTTGACCTGCTGGGCTCAGGTGATCCTTCCGCCTCAAGCCTTCCAAGTAGCTGGAATTACAGGCACACACCACCACGTCTAGCTAATTTTTTGATTTATTGTAGAGATGAGGTCTTGCCAAGTTGCCCAGGCTGGTCTCGAACCCGTGGGCTCAGGCAATCCTCTCACCTCAGCCTCCCAAAGTTCTGGGATTATAGGCATGAGCCACCATGCCTAGCCTAGCCAAGGACTTTCAAAGCCAGAGGCTAAGACTCTGTGTCAGGGCTACTCACCTCCACTCCGCCTTGTTGTGCAGGAATGAGTTACACTGGTCAGGGAGGTTTGCGTCATTTGACATGGACTCCAGAATTGAAATGATTTGCTTGAATGATGGCCGTTTCTAAAGAAGAGAAAATAAGTAATCACCTGTTGCGACTTCAGAAAGATCTTCAAGAGAAAATGTAGATATCCACAAGCATAGCACAAAGCTCAACCTACCCATAACAAAATGAAACATGATACAATGTCCTGATTTAGTTATTTTACAACTATCAGATCACTCAGGTTTAGGGAATCATTACTTTTGTATCCCTACATTAAGTTACATATTTATATTCTCTTGTATAATATCATAATGTCTTTTTATATCATTACCACATTGACATTTTCTTCCTTCTTTCCCCAAATATGTGTAGTGTGAATGCTGTGTTCAAGGTATGTTCTAGATGCTGTGGCTACAGTGATAAACAAGATTGTTCATCTTTATTTTCAATTAGTTATTTGTAAGAATAGAGGCAGATGTTGTTTTTCTATCATGTGGCCTATGGTTGGGATAATTAGTGTTTTTCTCTGGGTAAAGAGAATATTAATTCTCTTTTCATTATGAGTAAGGATTCCTAAAAAAGAAAAAGTTAAGTCCTTTAAAAATCTATGTGATAAAGCTGGTAAGAAATTAATAGTAGAGTCTGTGTGGTGGGTATTCTAGTGTTCACTGTAAAATTCTTTCAGCTTTTCTGTATGTTTAAAAATTCTTACGATAAAATGTTGGGGGACAATCTACTGGAACTAATAAAATTTCCCAAATCAGTTGGTCAGAAAAAAAAAAAAAAAAATCCCTCAGGCCTAAAGCCATCATAAGTTCCCTGTTCTCAAGATTTATTTCACATTATAACTAGCTTCCGTGCTGGGATGCTGCAAGATGCTGCTCACTGGAAATGAGCAGTGGCTAAGTATATTTCTTGAGCTAGCAGCAACCACACTAGCCTGTCTCTTTAGACTGTAGCCAAGGGTGAGACAAAAGGTTAAAACAAAAAGGGAGAAAGACAATAAAAGGGATGATGCACATTCTCTCTTCATCACACCTCATAATTATACCATTTCTGAACAAATTACAGTTGCAGCAATTAAAACATGCATTTTAATTTAGGAGCACAAAAACAAGAAGGAACAATGTTGAGGTGGCTTGCTTTCAAGACTTGAGAGCTTCCTACATTGTTAAGAAAAGCAATTTTTCCATTTCTCAATAAAAAACTGGGATATTTATTGAGTTCTGTCATTACTGTTCTCTTTCAAGGACGTGTGTGTGTGTGTGTGTGTGTGTGTGTGTGTATTCTGAAGAGAGCATACATAGCTAAATATTACTGATGTACATCAGGCCTTCTAATAAGCAAAGAAGAAAATGTTTTAGGAAGGAAGTCTGAAAAATGTTCTGTTTGTCTTCTTTAACTTTGTTCTCATCTTAATTTCTCCCACCACGTGTCAAGTTTTAAAAGGAAAAATGTTATAATTGTTTGCATAGGAACTAGTTACATAATAAATAAAGGATTTTCATTTTGTAAGGGAAAGTAGCAGGAGGAGTTATTGCATTTTTAAAGAGTAATATTTTTCTCTACATTTACTCATTCTTGAAACAAGGTGAAATTCTTTTGTAATCAGATGACAAGCATCCCTGAAAAAAAAAAATCTATATTATATATATATATTTTTTTTTTTTTTAGTTGGAGTCTCACTCTGTCACTCAGACTGGAGTGCAGTGGCCGCTCCTGGCCACCGCAGCCTTGACCTGCTGGGCTCCGGCGATCCTTCCGCCTCAGCCTTCCAAGTAGCTGGAACTACAGGCATGTGCTACCACGCCCAGCTAATTTTTTTAAAAAAATTTATTGTAGAGATGAGGTCTCGCCAAGTTGCCCAGGTGGGTCTCGAACCTGCAGGCTTAGGCACTCATCCGCCCACAGCGCAGGATTACAGGCTGAGCCACCGAGCTCGGCTAAAATATTTTAATTTTATAGTTAGAATCTACTCTTGGATAGATATTATCAAAGTGAACATTAAAAAAGCAACAATATAGAATTTTGTGGTAATAACACTTTATGAGTATTCTGGTTACTGAATATATTTGGTCTAGAATCTTATGTAAGTTTCTCTGAAGGAGCTTTTAAGTTCTTTTTAGGTATTACATAGGCTTTGCTTATTTGAAAAAAATCATCACTGTGGCCATTTATTAAGCACCTACATATATGATTTCTCTATTTTGATCTTCATTTTGTAGGTAAGGACAAACTAGTCTCAGAAAAGTGTCAATTTCCCAGCCTCACCCAGGAAGCAAGTTGCAGAACCAGGGGCTCTGCTCTTAAATTCTTCAATATCTTTATCACATAGCGTGAAGACATTATTTCGTATCAAACTCATGACCGTAACTATTACCTTTTCCTTATTTAAAAATGTCACCTTAGGACTTGAACTGGTTCCCACCTTACCTTTCTTCTTTCCTCTCTTCAATAAAATATTGTGAGGCCCTGATGTTAGCCACTACATGACCTGACATTTACCTCTTAGCCTCTTTCTCTTGTGCATACCTCTCCCTCCTCATTGCAAAATAACAAGTTTTATAGGTGGGATGAATATTTTAACCTAGGTGATAATACTCTAAAGTCTAAGAACTGAAAAAAAAAAAGAAATAAATACTTTAATCAACAATTGCTGTACATATGCACACAGGACTGGCACCAACTTCTGGTTGAATTGTGATGTATTTCTAGCCAGGAAACTAAAATGTGCCTCTCAGAAAATTGACTGTGGTCTGGCTATTTCAGGCAACAGCAGATTGGGCATCTAATTATGAAACTGATGAAAGGTACAATGGAGAAACACACATAGAAACTAGCTCTGATCCCTCATAGAACTTGTGACCCATGCAGGAAGAGAAGATATTTTTTAGAAAAGCAACAGTATAAGGTAAAGCAGTGGCCCAGACTGTGAATTAAGAAAAGGAGTACTAAGACTGGGCTGGTGTAAACAGAATAACCAAGGAAGCCTGATGGACGATGAAGTATTCAGGGGATAAAGGAAAGGAGGAGGCCAGCATGTGCATGCAATGAAGGCATGTAAGGTGTGTCCAGAGGAGGTTAGCTGTGAGAGAACTGGAAATGTGGGCTGTGGCCAGGCATTCAGACAGATCGAATACAGAGTCACATATTTTCAACAGAATACAATGTCATTGAGGAAATAAAATTCAATCTTAAACTTTCTTTACATTTTACCATGTCTGGAACACAAGATTCCTTTGGCCCTAAAGTAGGGTCATCTTACTACATGTCAAAGACATGTCAACTTCATAGCTTCAATATCAGCCTAATGTCCTTGTTGTGTAAGGTGTTCATACTACCATTTAATCAATATACCACAAATGTACATTCTTGGAATTTTAATTAATGTAGTACTGGGCTTCCGATTAAGAAATTCAAACCCTGCTTTACATATTGAAATGTAATTAAAATTATAGAGATCTAGTTGCAATAATCTAATTCAATGCAAACAGTTTCTGGCAAAACTTCTATTTAAGTATCAGAGAAAAAAATACTACCAAAATTATTTATATGACACAATGGATACATAACTGGCAGAGTAGGGAAAGGGTAGGAAGATACCATTTTAACAGTTTAAAATAAAACATTCTGACCGGGAGTGGTGGCTTAGCCTGTAATCCCAGCACTTTGGGAGGCTGAGGCGAGAGGATTGCCTGAGCCCGCGGGTTCAAGACCAGGTTGGGCAACTTGATAAGACCTCATCTCTACAATAAGTCACAAAACCTAGCCAGACGTGGTGGTGTGCGTCTGTAGTTCCAGCTACTTGGAAGGCTGAGGTTGAAGGATTGCCTAAGCCCAGGAGGTCAAGGCTGCAGTGGCTGTGAGCGTGCCACTGCACTCCAGCCTGAGCGACAGAGTGAGACTCCAACTCAAATATAAAAATTAAAAAACTTAAAAAAATAAAACAAAACATTTTAAAACAAACTTGCCAATTCCTGCTTATAGTTTCCACCAAATTAGTTGCAATGTGTAGGCATTTCTCTTAATGCTAAAAAGTCCCCACATTCTGCAAACTCACATATCAAAAATAATAGGGCCTAAATAGGGGTAGGGCAGACCACTCAAAACCCAGGCAACTTCATCACAGAGTACTAATAAAAATAATAACAACCCTAAATAAAAATATTAACACAGTTAAGAAATATGTTAAATTCTCCTCCCTCCCCTGCCCTTTTTTCTTTTTGTAGAGACAGGATCTTACTGTGTTGCCCAGGCTGATCTCAAACTCCTGGCCTTAAGTAATCCTCCTGCTTCGGCCTCCCAAAGTATTGGGATTACAGGCATGAGCCACTGCTCCTAGCCAAGAAACATGTTATATTCTTTTTTTTTTTTTTTTTGAGTTGGAGTCTCACTCTGTTGCCCAGGCTGGAGTGCAGTGGCACAATCACAGCTACTGCTGGGTTCAGATCCTTCTGCCTCAGCTAGGTATTTACACTATCATATAATCAGTGTACCATAAATATACATTCTTAGAACTTTAAGTAATGTAGTACTGAGTTTCTGATTAAGAAATTAAAAACCTGGCCATTGCTTTGTTAAACTCTGCTGTGTCCACATGGCTCTTTGAGCTATGGCCACGACGCTTTTTTAGTTTTGGCCCCCTCCCTACCTTGGGGAGGTGAATCATCTCTCTCTCTCTCTCTCTCTCTCTCTCTCTCTAATTGACTTCCTAAATAAACTATATTTTCCAATCTAAAAAATAAGAAAAAAGAATTGTTGTAAGTCGCACAGTGACTTACACCTATGATCCCTGATCTCAGCACTTTGGGAGGCCGAGGCAAGAGAACCACTTAAGGTCAGGAGTTAGAGACTAGCCTGGGCAACATAGCAAGATCTTGCCTCTACAAAGATAACAGAAATTAGCTGGGTATGCACCTGTAGTGCTACCTACTTGGGAGACTGACTCAGGAGGATTGCTTGAGCTCAGGAGTTCGAGATTGCAGTGAGCTATGATCATGCCACTACATGAGCAACAGAGAGAGACTCTATCTCTAAAATAATAATAATAGCAACAACAATAATGTAAAATAACTTAGAGATAAATAAAATTAATATCTAGATTTTTAGAAAGAAAAGGAACACCTTATAGAAGAATGGACTGTTTTATCATCATTCCCTCTTTTTGGGAGTCAGATTGGAATTGGGTTTAAATTAAAGAAGAAATTCCATTCTTTGGTTGTACTTTTCAGGTCTCTATTTAAAAGGTCCATTGTAATACCTTCAGTTCCATGAAAAACTGAACAAATTGAATGGTAAAATTTCAGTTCCTTTCTTGAGTGTACTGCTTTCTTATTCTAATGTTTAATCTGTGAGAATCCTTTTTTTTTTTTTTTTTTTGAGTTGGAGTCTCACTGTGTCGCCCAGACTGGAGTGCAGTGGCCGCTCCCGGCCACCGCAGCCTCGACCTGCTGGGCTCTGGCGATCCTTCCGCCTCAGCCTTCCGAGTAGCCGGAATTACAGGTGTGCACTACCACGTCCGGCTGATTTTTGGATTTATTGTAGAGATGAGGTCTCGCCGCCCAGGCAGGTCTCGAACCCGCGGGCTCAGGCAATCCACTCACCTCAGCCTCCCAAAGGCGCAGGATTACAGGCTGAGCCACTGAGCCCGGCTCTTTTTTTTTTTTTTTTTTAAGAGACAGGGTCTCACTCTGAAGCCCAGGTTAGAGTATAGTGGCATGACCATAGTTCACTGTAACCTTGAACTCCTGGCCTCAAGTGATCTACCCACCTCAACTTCCCGAGTAGCTGGGACCACAGGCATAAGCCACCATACCTGGCTAATTTTTAATTTTTTTGTAGAGACAGGTTCTCACTATGTTGTCTAGGCTGGTATTAAACTCCTGGACCCAAGCAATCCTCCCACCTAGGCCTCCCAAAATGCTAGGATTACAAGTGTGAGCCACCATGTCCAACCAGAATCTTCTTTACTTTTAAACTTTTTGGAATGGGAAATTCCAAATATACACAAAAGTAGAGAAAACACTGTGAGCCTCCATATACCTATCACTCAGCTTCCAAAATTACCTTGTTTAATCTATACCGTCATCAATTTCCCCCATTTTATTTTGAAGCAAATCCAAGACTAGCCTATCATTTTATCTGTAAATATTTTTGTATATATGTGAGAGTCTTTTAAAATGATCTTTGCAGGGAAAGGGAAATGGGCCATTCATGCTCAAACGTGATAACCACATGAAAGACCACATTTTGGAATTTCTCCAACTCTATTGTGATAGCTCAAAACACCACTGAAACTGGACAGGGAACACATCAGGATTCTCTACAAGTGCTACTTTTGCCCACTCTTTGGTTAGAAAGGCAATATAGTGCTGTGGCTGGGAGCACAGACTGTGCCAGACTGATGGGGGTCACCTCCAGCCCTACCGCTTACTAGCTGTGCGGCCTTGAGCTCATGACTCAACCTCTGTGTGCCTTGCCTCTTCCTCTGTAAAAGCAGGATCACCATGGATCCTACTTCATGAGGAATACGTAAGTTACCACACACGCAGTGCCTGGTAGATTACAAGTATGGTGTGTTAGTCATTTTTATAACAGAAAGAGTACAGTAGTTATTATTAGAGATTAAAACAAAAGAATACAATTATTTTTACTGAGTCAAGAATGCCAAAGAGTGCTGTAAGAAAGAGTTTATAATGAGCCACTAGTTATCAAGATAAGCAGATGTCAACAGAAAACCTACCAGTCAGTCTGGGGCTCACAGGAACATCAACCCAACTTTGTTTTGTAATGAATTTTATTACTGCAACTTTTAAAAACTCAAAGCCAAACAGGTGGAATTTCAGAATTCTGAATAGCAACAAAAACATAGGTATATACCTTGGCATCGGCTTCCCAACACTGATGTAACAGTTCAGCAAAACTTCTGGGGCAACTGCTTGGAATGGTTAATCTCTACAATGAAGTGGGGGTGGACAAAACAAAACAAAACACAGGGTTTTACTCATAAATGCAAGCGAATACTATTTGCCAGGTCACAAGAAGTTAACTTAAGAGCATAAACAAGACATGAAATTTAAAGCTTCTATTGATTACCACATGACAGGTGAGAATTTATGTTTAGATTCATAATATTTAGTTTCATAATTTCCATCCAAAGAGGAACTGCAGTGGGTGGAGAAGTCAGGGTCAGCACAACAAATGCAACAAAACATAAAATCAAGTCTAAGAGAAACTACAGTAGGAGAGAATCAAGTGGGACTTAAATACTAATTATAAAACTACAAGTCACTGTATTGTTTTTTTTTTTGAGTTGGAGTCTCACTCAGTCGCCCAGACTGGAGTGCAGTGGCCGCTCCCGGCCACTGCAGCCTCGCCTTCCAAGTAGCCGGAATTACAGGCACGCGCTACCACGCCTGGCTGATTTTTTTTATTTATTGTAGAAATGAGGTCTCGCTGCCCAGGCAGGTCTCAAACCCGCGGGCTCAGGCAATCCACTCACCTCAGCCTCCCAAAGGCGTGGGATTATAGGTTGAGCCACCGAGCCCGGCTAGTCACCGTACTTTTATAGGCAATTTATAACGTATGTAAATAGGCCAGGTAACTAGTTTAGATGTGGCAGTAAGTGAACAACTCTGAAAACATTCTTGACATAGAAGATCACAGAGATCATTTTCAAGAATTGTGCATTTTCTCACTGATACATAAGACATTCTGAATGTAGGACTCACTATGGCTTTGTTTTGGTCAAACCTCCATACTGTAGGGACCTGACATGGCATAAATTATAACATGAAGACCAGTCCTGTTCTAACATTCTACAATCATGATTCTCATCGAACATGGGATGGCACTATTCTGCAGAAGCATTTTTGTTTTAGAGACTGGAAGGTTGCAACTAACATTTAAAGATAGCGGGTCAGGAATGTCACACATCCATCAATATACCATCAAATCCTACACGATCAAGAACTCTCTTGTATCCCACAAGATTTCCCAGGCCCCATGTGCCTTCACAAGAGAATCAAACAATGAGATTTACAATTTTCCGGGCCCAGAATCCAACTCTAATTTTCAAATGAACACCAAGTATTTTTTAAAACAGTTTCAAAATACGTTGAACTTTCCAAGAATGCAACTACCAAATAAAATAAATAAAAGGAAAATTGATTTTTGCATATTCACAACTTTTCCAAGATTTTGGAAAAATGTAACCAACAACAGTACTGCTCCTGGTACTGGAGTCATTCACACAACCCAGCTCTATCAGGCTCCATTTGTAGCTGCTGAATTCTATTTATCCACAGGTGCAAGCTCCTCATACTGCTCCCTTATCAACCCTAGTATGGGCATGACTGAGCATTTATATGCTGCAATCCATATTTCATTTACTTCTCTTTTATATTACAGTTAGAGCATTATATTGACTTAAAATATAATGTGTGAAGGTAAGTTGTGTTACCTCTGAATTTCATTTTAGGGGAGCGAGGGGGTGTTAATGCAGTTATAAAAAGAGCACTGGGTATGAAGGAGTTGAGAACTGCTGTACTAAGAAGTACTAAGATTTATTTCACAGCACTGTTTGCCAAAGAAGTGTTGCAAATGAAAAACTTAAAACTGAACTTTGTTGGATTTGGGGGAGGCTACATGTAAAACTAGAAAAACAGTTGCTTTGGCAAGAAAACTGATAATCTATATTTGGAATTTGCAGATAATCTTAAAACCAAAACAAAATAAAAGCCCAAACAAGCCTCTCCAAATTCAAGGCTATGCTAAGTACTTCTAAACTTTTAGTCTTGTAAGTTCACAGACTAGACCAGGATGTATTAACTGTGCTATTATTTTACTATAATGTGAACTGCAAATTTTTTGATGATGGTAAAAAAGAAATTTGGGTTTTACTTCTTTTTTAATATAAATGGTTGTGAAGTGAGAACTAATAAAAACAGACTATAATTTTTTTTTTTTTAATAATTTTTTTTCCTGTCGCCCAGGCTGGAGTGCAGTAGCACACTCATGGCCACCGCAGCCTCAACCTGCTGGGTTCAGGGAGTCATTCTACCTCAGCCTTCCAAATAGCTGGAGCCCACAGGCGTGAACCACTACCCCTGGCTAACTGTTTGTTATTGTAGAGACAAGGTCTTGCCTTGTTGTCCAGGTTGGTCTTGAACCCCTGGACTCAGGGTGTCCTCTTGCTTCTGCCTCCCAAAGTGCTGGGATTGGAGGTGTGAGCTACTGAGCCTGGCCAACACAGATTATAGTTGCAGTTGTGCAACTGAATGTACTCTATATGTAACTAAAAATAATGAGTTTTTGTAAAGGGTAGTATTTTTCAATATAATTTTATTTGAACATATTTCCAAGAACTGAAATGTGAACTGGCTGAATATGAATGCTGATCATTTTTTGTCATCTTCTCATACTAAAAAAATTATTTAGATAGCATGTCTGAGACATTATGCAAGGAGATACAATTATTGTAAATAACCTGACATGGTCAATTATCAGATTCAGACACTTTACGTAATAGATTATTTTGGTGCAATTAAAAGTACTTTAAAATAGAATCCAAGGTATTTAAGTCCTGATTACAAAACTGTGGGCATTCCTAATGCACTGACACATTCTGAAATAACCAAATATTAGTACCAGGTTTGCAACATTACTTCAAACTTAAATATTTTTAAATCAATTTAAAAGATTTCCCAATCACTAATTACACATGACATTTTTTTAAAGACCATATTCATTTTTGCATCATTTTCTACATAGGATGTAAAATTATTTTTAAGTGAAGTTTTAGTTTTTTTCTAAAGTATAGTAAAAAGCAGAGACATTTTATAAAGATTTCTGTTAATCAAGTCATTTTGCTACTTAGAACAAGCACATTATATACAAGAATCTAAGTATTTTATAAAAATAGAAATTATGCTGCTAGAACATTCTGAATGACCACTGATTGAGTTCCATGGACATGATAAAAGTAAATAGATGTGTCTGTATTTTAAAAACTTTTAGTAATGCCCTCTTAGTTTCCTGCCTTCTATACAAGTCCATTGTTTATTTTGAAAAGTTTAGCAGAGCTTTGTGAATCTAGTTTTAATAGGATTTAATATGAGAAAAATGATTGCTTTAAGGCCTTATTTCATTATCAAGGATTTAGAAAGAAAACTCTTCAGATGTAATTCTTAGGAAATACTGATTTTCCTATAGATGCAAAAAGCAGTCCTAAATGGTGGAAATGAATGAGGTCTATTGTCTAGTTAAAAGTAGTGTGCCAACCTCAATTCCCCAGTTCTGGTAGTTACCACAGATAAATAAGATGTCACCAGTAGGGGAGGCTGGGTGAAGGGTACATGGATTCTTTGTAACAGTTTTGTAAATCCCTGTAAGTCTGTAATTATTTCAAAATCAAAAGTTAAAAAGACAACCCTTATACCTGGATTAGGGTGACTACATCACATTTAAAGAGTCTCCCTGAGTGTTTGAACACGATACTCTTTATTTAAATAAGGGCTGTTAAGAATACATCTTTCTCTTTTCAACCTGTAACCCAAGGTAGTCAACAAAAAAATAAATAAATAAAATAATCAGAAGTTGAAGGGATCTTGTAAATTGTATTTCTTTCTGTCAAAGTGTCAATTTTGTTATGAAATAATTTCTTGGGAATTATCTTAATGCTATATTAACAGAACCTGTTTGGAAGTAAGTATTTCCATTTGTGAGGTGAAATGAAGATACCACCTTAAATAATGATACTGAAAATTACATTTAAACTTAATTTCCATATTTTTGAAAAATAAATATTGTACAGAATGAAAACAGCAGATACATATCCTTATATTACCCAATTTCATTTAACTTCATTAGAAAGTTGAGAAAATTTATTTTGTCATATGGGTTTCTTTCAACTTACTTTTATAAATAATAGTATGGGAGGCAACTAATTTGTCTTCATCAGTTATTAGCTAGTCATCTAAATATACCATGAATAAAGCAGTGAACTCTATGGAATTTCTGGAGAGAAAGGAGATTGTTTCCTCAGGCACAATACTGAAGAAGTTCTGAAGGTTATTCATGGGTGATTCCCAACTCTCAAGTCAACGATTCAGGTATCTTCTAAATTCACTTTTTTTCTTCAGCATTAAAAATCCTTGACAGATATTCCAATGTTTTAAAAAGTGCTTTAGATATATCTATTCTGCCATTCTTTAGGTAAATTATTATTTTAAAGATATTATTTTTTCTTCCATATACAAATTAGAAGGGTTCAGTTAGTTTTTTAAAAAAATTTTCTCTTGGAACAGTATAGAGGGAAAAGATTACACTGAGTGTTTTGCTCCAGTCAATACAATGTTAGTAATTTTCTTCACTTTCATTTGTAAATCCAGAAGCAGATATCTTATCATCTCACTGGCAAAAAACAAACAAACAAACAAACAAAAACCAGAACAGAAGCATGTGGGTCCCCACATGGCGACAGTATCAGTTATTCTGTGTGTGAGGTCTTATTTAATAGCATACTAGGAACCACTAGCACATTTAATTAAAATGGAACAGCTCCTGGAAATGATGAGTAAGACACACTCTTGCATGTAACTCAGTTTCATTTCTTAAATTGGCAGCTCTTTCCCACCAAGTTCAGCTATCATCAACATTTCATCCATTCCCAATAAATCAAAAGGACAAATTTTAAGGTACCTCCAGATAATGTCATCCAAAAGATGGAAACTTGGTATCTCTTAGTCAATAGCAGCTTTTTGGTTAATCTAATTTGTTCCTGCACTCACAAGGGGAGCAGATCAATCTAATTCTTTTAGGGCATTAAAGAGGGAATATCTTTAAATATTCCCTTTTTTGGCAAATTATTTTATCCTAAGGTTGCACTCTCATCCTTTGTGGAGGGCACAGATAAGATTCGGAAATGAAGAACTTTTGTGAAATAACATTGTTTTGCATTGCAAAGACAACTGCCTGCTTCCATTGCATGATCTAAGTTCTCATAATACCTTGATATCGGATGCTTCATCCTTATGCTGAGAATTTCCATGGCTGTGCGTTTCAGTCACAATTTTAAACCTTTCAAAATGTAGTTGCTCTCTTTGATATGAATGTACCATGTTCTCTGATGTGGGCTCATAGGTCCAACTAACTGAAAGCCTCAATTTGTGGGAAGAAGAGGAGCGAGGCTGGGGACACAGCACAAACGGTGTTTACGCCACTGAAGTTCTTTTGAAATGGAAAGGCTCTGCATGAAGAAGCGAACAGTTATGCCACTGCCTCGCCAATTCCAGTGAGGAGCTCATCTTCAATGTAGTGTTCAACGTAGGTGGCAAAACTGTAATTTTTCCCTTTTTTGAAACTATTTTTTCTTCTTTTATTTTTGAAATTCTCATCTAAGCGACAGTTTCTTGTACTATAGTGACTCCTGCTGGGAGAGGTAAGTTGAAGTAGCTGAAGGTCTCTTACAGATATATCAACTCCCGGCCAGTAAAAAAGATGTCCTAAACGCAGGAGATGGAGTTAAACTGTTCCCCTACCTTGGACGCAATGGCTTCTTTCATCACTAAGAACAAACCCCTAGGTTTTACAATTGAGACTGAGAAACTAGTACAGTACTTGTACAATTTTTGATCTACAGCATCACGACGTGAAGCTGCAACAATTAGATGTAAAGGGTCCATTCATGAGGAATAACATCACTTTGACCCTTTGTGTTAGCTCCTACTGCTAATCTTTCCATAAGCGTGAACTTACTTTCAATTTGAAGAAGATGAAAAAGTCTTTTGCAAAACCCCAATACTGTTTTCTGATCTATGTACCTGAATGGAGAAACGTAGTCTTACCTCGTTTTTTTCCACTACAAGCCAAGCTACTTGTAATCCTTCCAAACCTTTAAAGGGGACCTCCCTTGTTAGCATCTCCCAGAGAACCTGGAACAAAAAGAAAATGGAATTTTTATTCCTGTACTTTGTATTTTTGGTATATTACTGAAACTTTACTTAACATTTAATTGTATCCAATTACCAGACACAACCAACCCCATCTGTAGAAACTTGGGCAAAACATATACATTCATGCACAGTACTTCTTCCATATATTATATACTTTTTACGTTCTTTTTTTATAAAGAAAAACTTGTTTAGAAATTAGAACATCTAGAGCCAAACTTAAAATGTTTTGAAGCCAATGAATCTCAGTAATTTAATTTTATCCCACAAGTTATTGGAATTTTTATGTATTCCCACAGATTAGATTTTGCATTTTTATTAGTTAAAACTCTTTTCACTTTCAATCTCTGACATATTTCTCTGTATGATAATAATTGGGAATTCAAGAATATTTTTAAAGGCTCGATAATGGTCTCATTAAAAAACAACAACAACAAAAAACTAAGCCTCAAATCCAAATCACTGGCTAACCTACCTACCATACAATGGTAGACATTTGAAAAATTATAAAATTTAGATTTTACATGTTACATTTTAGATTTGGGGGAAATCTCCCTTGAAATGAATGAGCCAGTCTAAGGGATCCATTTTCACATGCCTATAATATAATTTATTATGCCATATTCAAAAATGTAATAAATACTGTACATACATGTAAGCTGATTGTGTATATATGGGTTACATGTGTGTTTATCTCTGTGCAATCCTTGAGAGAATACTGTTAATAAACCTGAACTGGAATGCCCAAAGAAAGCAAATTGATGCTAGAAATACTGCAGATTTTGGTTTCTCTTTAAACACTGAGTATTGGAGATCTGTATACTCAATTAGTTTCTCTATTTAAACAAATGGACTTCAAAACTTTCAGTCTACCAGTACTTTGTAAAGTGCAAAAACAATTCCAATCTTATCTATCAGTAATAGTCATAATAATAACAACCACTACCATTTATTGAGTGCTTATTAGGTTCCAGGTACGCTTTACATATGCTATCATGATTAGTATCAACCCTATCAGATAGATATTATTCTCATTTTATAGGTGAGCAAACTAGGGCTGAAGAAAGTTAAATAAACTTGCCCAAAGACACTCAGTTATCAAGTGGCAGAGCCAGAATGTGGACTTGCTGGCTCACTCTGAAGGTCAAGCTCTTGACCTCACGTATTTCTAAAGAAGGGAAAGCAACAGTGTTAGAGAGAATGTGACATCCTATATCTTAGGTCTGGAGCCATGGCAAAAGTGGGAAGGGAACTCAGCAGTTTAGATTTAGATTTCTCTTGTTCTAGAAACAGATTCCCATTTCTAAGTAAGCATGTAGATGGCAGAGATATACTCTATTCAAGCAAGGCGTATAAACCTTTCAATCTATATCCACTGCTTCCTCAGCCAGTGCTCAGTTTTATTGGAGCCATGATATGTTAAATAATTTCTGGCTAATGAGAAGATAATTAGCAGGAAAATCAGGGAAACTGGCAGATGCTGCTCAAGCAGGAGAAAAAAATTCACGGAAGCCTCTCTGGGCTTTTAATCAAGTGTATAAGGTACTTTTTTAGAAGCTACTGAATAATTCTACCTGAGTTACACAAGTGATTAGGAAAAAACAAGGGGCATCCCAGAAGGGGACAATTCCAGTGAATGCTGCAAGTAAAGGAAGGGTGAGGGCCAGGACAGGTATGCCACCACCCCTGACAGGCTGCCTGCACAGGAGAGGGGAGGCCAGGGCAGCTGGAAGGCAGAGCAGAAAACGAAGGCGCTCATTTGTTGCAATTACCACTCCACTGGTGCTAGGGCTGGAGATGGGCAAGGATACAGAAAGCAAGGAAATGAATGGATTTGGCATTCCTAAAAGGAGATGGGAACAGCCAACCAGCCTCAAATCCATTGAATGCTCCAGACCGCAACACTGTCAGATGCGTAGTCTGGTGCCCCTCCTTTCTTAGTTTGACCTGCATATACAATACACGTGCAAGCATGCACACACACACACACACACACACACACACACACACACACACGCTGACTGAGGTAAAATGCAAAATCAAGAGTTTGAAGGCATAATGTCAGAAAAATACTTATGTAATTCTCTATTCCAAAATATTCTGTTGGAAATCGTCCAAAAGCCAATAAGATCTGAGTTAACGTTCTCTAAGAGTTCTAACTTTGAAATAAATAAGACAGTTTCATTTGACTTCCTCTGTGTCTCTAAAGAGCTACTACTTGCTAGATGTGTCCAGGATGGTGTCACCCACCACTGTGTCCTGAAGCCCAGATGAGGACTTTAGTTCATTTCCAGTATCTGCATACTTCATGGTTTCTTTTCCTTAATCCTCCAGATTCGGGAATGCATCAAAAAGTAGATGGTATGAGATTAAAATGACAGTTTTTTTTACTAAACAAAATGAAATTTGGCTCAAAAAAGTAACTTTCCTGAAGTCACTTGGTGGTCTAAAAATATATTAAACTATGCCTAAAAATACCAGTTATGAGGACTCAGGCCAAATATTATTGTGATCTTTCACCTTTAAAATATTTTCCAACTCATTTTATATTGAGACGTCCTCACATTTAAACTGTGCTCACAAGGAAAATTTCTATTTTCAGTTTATAGAATAGAAACTTGGACAAGCTGTGTACTTTTCCTGCCTTTTCTTTTACAAACAATAGAAAGTCATTACCTGAACCTGGCTTGTTCTGGAACAAGGCTCACAGACAAGCAAGGCAGCAGTGCTGTCTTGTAAGCCACTGGGTTTTCAACGCTGGTTTTGGCTGAGAAGTTTCTAAGAAGGTAATCCTTTCTGCATTGTCATTAGTAAAGCTTTGTTTTTAAAGAGAGGCTAGGCCTTGTGATTTCACAAGGCTTACTCTTTCACTGATCTTCGCTTTTCTGAAGTCTTTTCTTTTTTTGTAGATAATATACTAAACATTCCTTCTAGTTCAATCCTTCAAGAGAAGTTGTCATAAAGAGTAGAAAAATCTCCTCTCTTATAAAAAGGAGAGAGAAACAATTGCCTGCCTAACTAAGTTACTGGCTTAGAAGCAAGGATCACAAGATCCTTTTCTGGCCTTTGCAACTTGTTTATTTTAAGGTAGTACCAGACGAGTGAGTCTTGCCATTTGTTAAGAAGCAATATAGGTTTATCAAGCTTGGGTGGCGGGTACTTTTGAGAGCGTATTAGGAGCTAAATTCTTACAAGTCTAAAAGAAATAGAAAAGCAAAAGTCGTATTGCATTTTCTGGGTGGATTTCAAAAAAGGACAATTTTTTAATGGTATTATTTATCTATTTGATTGCTGTGTGTAGGGGGAGTTCAACTAACAGAATAGACTCTTGAACTATGGGATGTTTTATGCAGATGCTTCTACTGATAAATAAGTCCTGGCTATTCATCTGTTTTCGAAAAGACATGTAAAAATTCTAAATAACCACACTTCTTTCCTAGATAGGTATCATTTTCAAAGTTTATGAACCACAAACTTCTAAAATAAACATGGTCCTAACCTTAACAACTGTCCTCTCCTGCTCTTTTATGTAATATCTACTCTGAACACAGTTTAAAAAAAACTGTGAAGCCAGACGTGGTGGCGCAAGCCTGTAATCCCAGCACTTTGGGAGGCCGAGGAGAGAGGATTGCCTAAGTCCAAGGGTTTGAGACAAGCCTGGGCAACTTGGCGAGACCTCATCTCTACAATAAATCAAAAAATTAGCCGGGCATGATAGCACGTGCCTGTAGTTCCAGCTACTTGGAAGGTTGAGACCGAAGGATTGCCTGAGCCCAGCAGATTGAGGCTGCAGTGGCCCTGAGTACAAGTGCCACTGCACTCCAGCCTGGGAGACAGAGTGAGACTCTAACTCAAAAAAAAAAAAAAAAAAAATTGTGGGGCGGGGTGCAGTGGCTCACACCCATAATCCCAACACTTTGGGAGGATGAACCCGCAGGACTGCTTGAGCCCAGGAGTTCGAGACCAGCCTGGGTAACAAAGTAAGATCTCTTCTCTACAAAACATCAAAAAATTAGCCAGGCAAAGTAGTAAATGCCTGTAGTCCCAGCTACTCGGGAGGCTGAGGCAGGAGAATTGCTTGAGCCCAGGAGGTCAAGGCTGGGTATGCCATGACCGTGCCACTGTACTCTAGTCTGGGTGACAGAGTAAGACCTGACTCAAAAAAAAAAAGAAGGTTCTGGAAAGCATGCCTTGTACTTTTTCTTTCACTAATGGTGTTTGTTTAGAACAAATAAGATGAGAAGTCAGAATTAAATATAATCCTGAATTTTTGTTTATCATTAAACGTACACTTTTCTGAATGGAATTTTGCTGACAGAGCTAGAGAGGCAACCAGTAATTTTCCAGCAAACCTCTCTTCAAGAGAGTTAAACAGCAAAAGCTGTTTTAAAACAAGTTACTGAAATGGCATTTTTATTTCCTCCAGTTAAGGGAAGGCTCTAGCATGAATGTGGGAATGATATTTCAAATCATGTAATGGGGTAAACAGGTTCTGAAGAGCAACATCCAGTGTGAAAATATAGAACAGCACTGGAGAGGCTCAGAAGCTGGCTGGAGAGCTTGATTCAGGAAGGTATATTACTTGACAGAGTGATTTGTTCAGCATTTGTTAGATCCCTCCTCCACCCGACCCCCCCCAAATAAAACAAAACAAAAGCAACCTAAAGTAAGGTCAGTAAACAAGTAGAAACCCTAATCTGGCAGGGTGCAGAGGCTCGTGCCTGTAATCCCAATGTTTTGGGAGGCTGAGGTGGGAGGATAGCTTGAAGCCAGAAGTTCGAGTACAGCCTGGGCAACATAGCAAGACCCTGTCTCTACAAAAAAAAAATCCAAAAACCAAAAATTATCCAGGCGTGGTGGTGTGCACCTATAGTTCCAGCTTGGGAGGCTGAGGCAGAAGGATCTGTGGAGCCCAGGAGCTTGAGGTTAAAGTGAGCTATGACTGTGCCACTGCCTGTACTCCAGCCTGGCCAGCAGAGTGAGACCCTGTCTCTAGAAAAAAAAAAGGAGGGAGGGAGGAAGGGAAGGCAGCTGGCCAAAACTGCAAAAAGACATGTTCAGGTCCTTCTGTTGAAAAGTGGTGCAGAGTCACTTGAGTGAAAAGGTTTTTACTAAAATACACAGAAAATTTGCAGCTCCAGAGAGGTTGACCCAGACTATGTTTAAGAAGTGGGTCAATGTGGAATGGGTAAAAGGATTTTAAAATGATATAGGAAGAGACTCTAAGCTCTGAAAACAAAAATCACCTCTTAAGATCTTTCACAGTTGAAAAGGAATCTATGCTTGACTGGCTACTAGTACTATGACTATACTTCTGCTGAGGAAAAGCAGAAGGGTGTATTTCACACCAAATTCCCTGGCAACTCTAAAGCTTTGAAAGAAGGTAGCACGATGTTTGTTTTCATAAATGAAACAATATTGAGACCAAAAGTTCACCGGATGTATAATTCATAGTTGTACCTTTAGGTCAAAAATTTCTGAGAGAGGGAAACTCCAAGATGTGAGGGGAATTTTAAAATAAAAGCACTGTATATATGTGGATACACAAGTGCAAAAATGAGCCTCAAAAGTCTTCTGATTCATAGGTATGGTGGCTTACGCCTGTAATCCCAGCACTTTAAGAGGTGGAGATGAGAGAATTGCCTGAACCCTGGACAAGACCGGCTTGGGCAACTTGGCGAGACCTCATCTCTACAGCAAATAAAAAAATTAGCTGTGAGTGGTGGCACGCACCTGTAGTTCCAGTTACTTGGAAGGCTGAGGTGGAAGGATCACCTGAGCCCAGCAAGTTGAGGCTTCAGTGGCCATGAGTATGCACTCCAGCCTGGGGATAGAGTGAGACTCCGACTCAAAAACAAAAACAAAAACAAAAACTATAACCAACACACTCATATATGATCAATATATATATCACACCAACATATATACATATATATGTTTATATGTCTATATACATTTAGATACACAAGCATGCCAAAGGAGTGAGAACTGTGTGTGGAACCACTCCGAGCTGTGGGCTGGAACATCGACTAAGTGAGCCATGTTCCTCAGCCACGTCACCAACTTTCCAAGCCTGTCTTGTTCCACAGAGGGGTCTGTAACTGTGGCTTACCACAGAAAACAGAGTGGCTCTTCACGTTTAAAGGATTGTAAAAAAAAAAAAAAACACCAAAATACAACATAAGCCAAAGAAGACTACGCAACAGACACTGTAAGTGGCTCTTAAAGCCTATAATATGTACCATCTTGTCCTTTATTGAAAAAGTTTGCTGACTCCTGTTCTAAAGTATAAAATGAAACACTGGTCCCCAAGAGCAGGCCAAATAAAATTTAAATTACTCCCAGGTGGTGTCTAGCAGTGTCTGACTCAATAAATAAATTTTTTGCTTAAAAATGAAAGAACAAGCCGGGCTCAGTGGCTCAGCATGTAATCCCGCGCCTTTGGGAGGCTGAGGTGAGTGGATGGCCTGAGCCCGCGGGTTCGAGACCCGCCTGGGCGGCGAGACCTCATCTCTATAATAAATCAAAAAATCAGCCGGGTGTGGTAGCGCATGCCTGTAATTCCGGCTACTCGGAAGGCTGAGGCGGAAGGATCACCGGAGCCCAGCAGGCCGAGGCTGCGGTGGCCGGGAGCGGCCACTGCACTCCAGTCTGGGCGACAGAGTGAGACTCCAACTCAAAAAAAAAAAAAAAAAAATGAAGGAACATAATTTCATAAGAGAAAACAATCTCATAAAGAGTCTTAAATGGCAACAAAGACGCACTTGCAGAATACCCTGCAGGTGAAGATTTGATGGTTAGGAGGTAGTAGTTTTTGACAGAGGAGACCAGTTTTAGAATCTCCTCTCCTCTGAAATCTACATTTTGTGTTTTCCTTCTTTCAGTAAGAATTATTTGATCACTGTCTATTAGTTTATAGTCTTCATTCTTAGAAACACCCAGAATCAAGGGAAACTAGGTCGATAACCTTACATTACTCTTGTCTTCCAACCTTTACAATTCTAGACTTTATCCCAAAACATATATTTCATTCTTGAAATGATTTTTTTCCATAGCCAACAAAACTCACCTCTATTATGCTAATTTGGTGCACATAGTATGTGTTATGATTTAGAAAGAACTAGCCAACCGAAACAAGCCCAAAACTTAAGTGATGAAGCCAGCAGTAAATACCTAGAGACTGAATAAAGAAAAAGGAACATGTTTGACAATGCTGATCTCCTCTTGTGCCATCAGCCAATATTTTCAGTAAAAAAAAACACAGATGTCCAGGAAAAACAAACATGTTGATATGGGCCCAAATTAGTCTGCTTCTTTTCCCATTACTATGGAAGTGTCCTTTTAAGAAGTAATAATAGGCTGGGCACTGTGGCTCATGCCTGTAATCTCAGCACTTTGGGAGCTTGAGGCAAGAGGATTACTTGAGCCCAAGAGTTTGAGATCAGCCTGAGAAACAGAGCGAGACCTCATTGCTACAAAAAATAAAAACAATCGGCTGGGCATGGTGGTGTGCACTGTAGTCTCAGCTACTTAGGAGGCTGATGCAGGAGGATCACTGGAGCCCAGGAGGTCAAGGCTGCAGTAAGCTGTGATCGTGCTACTACACTTCAGCCTGGGTAACAGAGTGAGACACCAAAGCAAAAAAAAAAAAAAAAAAAGTAATAGTACAAATAGATAGGCAGTATAATTGGAAGTATGAAATGCAAAGACAGGGAGTTATTTTGGACTTTTAGAAAAAATATAAAATGTTAGGGAAAAAAAAGTATCCTCAAAAAAAAAAAAAGGCAATGAATGAATTCCTTCCTCCTGCAAAGAACCGTCCCCACCACTCACTTCTGTCTTTCTGATAATGCAGGAGTGATTCATCTCCAAACTCCTCCCCTAGAAGCTTCTGCTGCTTAACTGATTCATTCTGGTGGTCTCAGTTCCTTGAGCACTCCATCCCCACATGATCCTATTCTCCTGCGTTGCTCCCGTTGTTATTCTTACACAACACCCTAGAGTCGTGTTTCAGACAGTCACTACTACCCTAAGACTCGCAGCAGACACAGACAAGGCCCTCTGCTAGGTGCTAAGTACATTCTGTTTTACTTTTAGAAACGCACTAATCAGTTTAGTAGCTGACACCCAAAAGTTTCTTGTTAAGGAACTCACTTGGTGGTTTGATACTGTTTCAGCAATCCATTACAATGAAGTCCTGTTCCAAGTGACCTGCATTTCCACTGAGTTACAGAGATATTCTACGGTCATATTTTCACCCGGCAGAAAAGCACTCTCTGCAGGTAAAGTGTGGCTCAACACTATCTCAGGTTCCATTTAATTCGTTTCCTGGATGTGGCATTGGTTTTTTCTCAACTCAGGACAAAATAACTCAGATGTATACAAATGATGAAAGTAAATATTCTGGCAATTAGAAAGTGTTCTGGGTTGCCTCTGCTTCAGGCATTCCACAGCAGCATTGTCTTTCTTATCTAGGTTGTTTGTCTTTTGTATTTTAATTAGCAAATAAGAAGTGAAAGATGAACTCACCACACCATAGGAATACGTGTCACAAGTTTCAGACACAGGGAGACTTTGGATAACTTCCGGAGCCATCCATGGGAAAGTTCCAACCAAGGACATGTGTGTTGTATGGTTATGGAACCGAGAGGCACCAAAGTCACAGATCTGTGAAAAGAGGAACCAGTGTCAATGTTCTATTTATTGGCCAATAAAAGAATGAATTATCAGGCTGGGCCGGTGGCTTACGCCTATAATTCTAGCACTTTGGGAGGCTGAGGTGAGAGGATTGCCTGAGCCCACAGGTTCAAGACTAGCCTGGGAAATTTGGCAAGACCTCATCTCTACAATAAATAAAAAAATTAGCCGGGTGTGGCGGCACATGCCTGTAGTTCCAGCTACTTGGAAGGCTGAGGTAGAAGGATCACCTGAGCCCAGCAGATCAAGGCTGCGGTGGCCATGAACATGCCACTGCACTCCAGCCTGGGTGACAGAGTGAGGCTCTGACTCAAGAAAATAAATAAATAAAATAAAAGAATTATCAGTGTGATCTATCACAGAAACAAAGAACTGAGTACCACATGTTCTCACTCATAAACGGACCTTGAACAATTATTGTAATACTATAAGAAAAGGATTGGCAGCAGTGGGAAACTGCCAGGGGAGAGGGGGCACACCTCATCAACAAGGGTACCTGCATAATGAACATTTGTATACTTAACCCAGAATTGTAAGCCATACAGTGCCTTGAACATAGTAGATGATCTCTACCTGCTAGCTGCTACTAATGTATTTTATTAAGGGGGGAAATCATCTTTAAAATAAAATTAAAAAAAAAAAAAAGAATGATCAGTTATAAGAACCTATATCTGAAATTAACAATTGAAAAAATTAAAAGACATAGTCATACCTTCAATACTCCATCAGCAGCTATAACGACTAAAAAGAAAAAAAGATAAATTATAACAATCACCTAATTTGTTTGAACTGTCTTATGCTGAAAAAATAATAAACTTCTATCTTCAGTACAACATTATGAAAGGTAAGGGCAATACATTTACAGCATTGAGGATTTTGTAAAAGGAAGATTACACTAAAACAAAAGCATAATTCCATTGGGTACTGATTCAGGTTTTTAAGACACTTGTTTGGTCCAAATGCAGCACTGTCCAGTAAAAAAGGGCACAAACAGCCAGGCGCGGTGGCTCACCCCTGTAATCCCAGCACTTTGGGAGGCCAAGGTGAGAGGATTGCCTGAGCCCAGGGATTCGAGACCACCCTGGGCAACTTGGCGAGACCACCTATGCTATGTTTTTCTATGCAAAACTCAGGAGCAGAAGAAAAGGCATGAACATTTTGGAAGGTAGGGGCCAAGTCAAAAAGAATGCTTGTGAGAAACAGACAGCCAATGAACAGCTTTAAGTGGAGGATTGAAATAAACACTTGTGCAGAGGGAAGACTGTATCAGAGAACAACTGGAGGCAAGGAAGTCACTGCACTTGCAGGCTGTATGACCAAGAGAGATGAGGATTCCTGTACCAAAGCTGTAGCAGGGGGAAAGTGGACTGACCCAAGAAATACTTAGGAGCAGGATCAACGAGGCTTGACTAATAGTTGGATATGGAGGAAGGAGGAGAACTCAAGGATGAAAACACATAAAGAGGCAATTCATGTTAGTGGTCAGAAAGAACAGGAGCTCTGGATTCAAACTATAATCCTAGTTCTTTAATTCCTGGCTTGGGCAACTGGTGTAGCCACCCATTGAGTAAAGGAAATTCAGGAATGCTTTTTTGGGGGTAGAGAGAAAACGAAAAGATCAGCTGGGACATAATACATTTTAGGCTCATGTAAAATATCTATGTAGATATGTTTAACAAGCAGATAGGCACACGGTTTTGAAGTTGAAATCTCTTTGGGAGTGTTAATAAACAGATGGGCTTTTATGGGAGTGTAAGAGTTAGAGCATAAGAGGAGATGAGGCCAAAGATAAAACCCTGAAGAACTAGGTTAGGAACTTCTTTTGTAAGCCATGCAGTGCCTCGAACATGGTAGATGATCTCTACCTGGTAGCTGCTACTAATGATTTTATTAAGGGGGAAATTATCTTTGCATGATCTACTATACAGAAATAGCCTCAGGGTAAGGTTGACACTGTAAGAAAACTATGAAGTTTTGCTAATAGAAATGTAAAGACTGATGATATTTTATTCAGTTTTCTCATTAAAGATTAACAAGTGCTCATTTTTAAAGATCTACCATTAAAAAATATATAACACAGAGAATGAAATAATCTTGTTCCCTCTCCCAGGGGAAAAGAAATTGCTCAAAGTTAAGTCTATATTCTTTCAATATGAGTGTATGTGTGTTCCTATCACGAAATTACACACAACTATAATTTTTTAAATGATGACATTCTCCATTGCTGTATAGTGTTCATAATGATAGCATGGATATGGATAAATCCATCATTCTTCTCTCAAAGAAGATTTAGAATGTACTGAAGTCAAATAACTTTTTAAAATTGAAATTCTGAGCATGAACTGAAAATTTATAAAGTCACAAAACTCTGATATTTTCTACTAGATTCTAATGGCTTCCTATTAGCTGACTACACATCAAAAGTGGGTCATTCCAGAAGCTTATGTCTTAAGAAGAGCCAAAGGATAAGTGAAGACCTAGAAGAGGAAAGGACAGTCTGCCAGAGTCAGCTAGCAGGGTTATCTGGTGGGCCAGCCTGAACTGCTGATGGGTGTTAGGTGCCAACAACTTCCTCCAGCCCAATAAACACACACACACACACACACACACACACACACACACACACACACACACACACACACACCTCATAGTCCTAAGCATGAGCAGGGGTACCTGGTCGATTCATTCTCTGGTCCTCCTCTGTACTCATCATCACTACCCATTCTAAGGACTGTACTATTAGCATACACCCATTTTAACTGCAGTGATCTAAAGAGCTGCTAAAAATAGTTCTTTTTCTTCTTACTGAGAAGGACCACTTAGAAGGCATGTAAATAATTAATTGATAGCAAGGTTTTTAAAAAACTAGCAAACTCTGATGTTTACTTCGGCTAGTTCTGGATAGCTAAATAGTCCTACTGCCCTTCTCAAATAACTCTGAAGCGATGTAACAGAAGAAACATTCTGTTAGTACTTCTACTTGAAGGTAATGCCTAATCCTCCAAGTTATTCTAAAACGCTCACTCCCCAAACTATAAAATACACGGCCATAAGTAAACTTTAGAACGTACAGAAGAAGAGAAAGAAGAAAGAGAGAGCCTTTACTATCCACACTCCCAAATGTGCTACTCACTTTGGGCACTACTCCAGGTAATATGGCTATGACTGGCATAAACAATTTGCACTATATCATTCAGAAGTAACTAGAACAAAATTCAAAATTGCTAGTGCACAGAACCACCTAAAAATAGAAAACTAAAAATACATGGCTGCATATTTTGACCCAGCAATACCTCTTTTAGAAAATGGGGACTAATTAGGGATATGGTGAAAAATTTGACTGAAAGGTTTATTAAGCCCAACATTTCTTATCATAGAAAAAATGTAAACAACCCAAATGTCCACATACTGTGCTATATACATACAGTGGAATACTATGCAACTTCTTCAAACAATACAGAGAATTTTGACATTTACTGACAGTAGAATGATTTTCATGGTATCAGCAGTAAGTGAAGCAGCAGGTTACAAAAGATATGGAGGGCATGATGCTTATTTCTATATACAGGTGCATGTAATTTGCAATAAAATAGGTAAAATAAAAACATACGACTACATTACCATTTCTTGACTTGAGATCTCTGTGAATCACCTTGACAGGGGCCTCCATATGTAAATAGTGCATTCCTTTTTGCAAAAGAAAGAAAAAGGCCCATTAGTATTTTTCAACATTGCTTTAGTATTACATTTTGTATTTTTTCAAGGAATTCAATAGCACAAACTAATTTCATGTGTTCTATTCTTCCATGATTGATAAAATAGAAACAAGGTATGTCTACATTAGTAACATTTCTCTGCTAAGTAAATTTTATGTGCTTTAGTCTCTCAGAGGTTGAAATTTGATTGTGGGTAAGGCTAGCTTCTTATAGTACCTAATAAGGACACCTTAATTTTCTGAAATCTGCATGAAAATAGCACAGTATCCAGTGAAAGAAGTGTCCCGTGACTCAGGTATTCCACTACCAACTGCCTTCTAAATCTGCCGAAGTTCTGAAAAGGGTTTTCAGTTTTCATTTGGTTGTCCACAGTGATCCAGTTACTGCTTGGATTATTGTCCCAGTACTCATTCCAACAAGACCTGAGAGTGGAGGTTGTGGTTGGGGTGAGAAGAACTGGTAGGACTGGATTAATTACAGTTGGTAAAGAATGTTACAATCTCCAGACAGAAAAATATTCATTAGTTGTAAAATATTTCATTCTTTTTACAGGGATAAATCGTTGAGATAATCTGTATTTAAACATACTCCAAAATTCCAACCTAGTTAGGATGTAAATAAAGTTACTTCTGTAAATTGGGTATATATAACCTTTATGGAATTTTATTATTTTAAATCAAAAGTTATACTTTAAGAGCCATATTTCATGGTTATCCCTTCGTAGTGTTTGACTCTTTCTGTATTTCTGTATTATTTACCCCCTTAGGACAAATGAACATTTTCTACTGAACTATATCCTCTTCCTTTATTTCTCAAGTTATCGTTTCTAACAATAGAAGAAATAGCTCTTTCCACCCATGCAGCAAACAGCCTTCTTTTTAAAAATGAACTATCCACTGAAAAAAAACTAGTAAGTAGTCTTGGCTTTGTAAAGCATACAGAACATTTCAATTTTATAAAGGTTAATTTTAAAATCTCTTATTCTTCTATCATTCTAATTATTATATACTGAACAGTCATGAAAGAACAAAGAAAATAAGAAAAAAGTTTAAGTTCTTGCCACATAACGACAGCGCTGAAAAAAGTCAAGTTAACACAAGTATTAGTCATCTAAATGAGCTTAAACAAGATGTAACTGGGATAAAGGAAATTTCTCTTCTAATATGAAATTCTACATACTTCAAACCACAAAAATTCAACAGCTTCAACTTGGGTACCATTTAATAAGCTTCATGACTGAATTTCATAGTTACCTCTCTCTTGCTTTAAAATCATATTCCTTAATAATTTTGCAGGTATAATCTGTTTAATTACTACTAGAGGCAAAAATATTTTTTATATTCGCTGATAAATAAGGATTTCAAGAAACAAGACCCAAGACAAAAGTTTTAAATATAGGCATTTTTCTTTCTCATGGGAGATAATCATAAGAAAAAGTACCATAATTTATTTGTGTACGATGTATATAGCATGTACTTAGATAATAGTGTATATAAACAGTAGTATTCACAGACACATAAAATTTTATTTAATTTGTTTTTGTAGAGTCAATTATAATCTGCCTTATTTTTATTGCAAATAATTAAGAATGAAAAAGGCTTTCATCAGGTTTAATGTTCAGGTTTTCTAAAAAAAACAAAGACTTGGCAGGTGGTTGGGTGCAGTAGCTCATGCCAGCACTTTGGGAGGTTGAGATGAGAGGATTGCCTGAGCCTAGAAGTTCGAGGCCAGCCTGGGCAACATGGTGAGATCTCATCTCTACAATAAATTAAAAAATTAACTGAGTGTGATGATGTGCACCTGTGATTCCAAATACTTGGGAGGCTGAGGCGGAAGGATTGCCTGAGCCCAACAGGTCGAGGCCATGATGGCTGTGAGCGTGCCACTGCACTCCAACCTGGGTAACAGAGTGAGATTTTGACCATTGAGGAGACTTTTGGGGAGATGTGGAATCAGTGGTTGACCATTTTGAGACTGGATTGGGGTTTATCTGGTTTAATTGTTCCATTTACAAATTGTTGAGTGACTTGGAGCAATTTCAGATATACACGCTAGTCCACCGTCCACTCTTCTTCCCATCTAGAAAGAAGAGAATCCTTTTTGCTCTGAGGAGATACTCTCTGAACAACAATGACTTGGGGCAATGCTTATATCAAAATACAAGAGTCAACCCTTATTTGGAGAGAATTATTCATTCTTTGATTTCTCAATGTATCATCACACCAGTGGCTTCAATCATGAAAGATACATAGCTGAATTTTGAGATATGATCACAAAAATCAAGCCTCCCCACTTAATCTCTAAACTCTACATACATCTTTATCAGAGAGGTTTGAAGTCCTTCCTAAAGCACTGGTTTCTTTTTTCTTTTCTAGGCCATCTTAGAGAATTTTTTTTTTTTGAGTTGGAGTCTCATTCTGTCCCTCAGGCTGGAGTGCAGTGGCACACTCACGGCCACCCCAGCTTCAACTTGCTGGACTTCGGCGATCCTTCTGCCTTAGTCTTCCAAGTAGCCAGAACTAGAGGTGTGTGCTACCATGCCCAGTTAATTTTTTAAAAAATTTATTGTAGAGATGAGGCCTCACCAAGTTGCCAGGGCTGGTCTCGAATCCACGAGTTCAGGCAATTCACTCACCTCGGCCTCCCAAAGTGCCCAGCCTTAAAGGATTTTTAAATGTTAAGTATTTCTTATGACTATAAGTAAACAGGCCTCTTCTTGGCCTTACTTTTCTCACCCAAGGCCAAACACATTAGCACTTGCCTTGCAGATCATTTCACTAACCAGGCAAAAGGGCTTTGATTAATTGGTAGTTTGGGGCATCATTGGGGGTGCACTCTCATTCTCTTCTTCCCTATTCTTCACCTGTGGTTCCAGCTTGCTACTAAATCCTGCCCCTTTCTCCCCCTTGCCCTTCTGATGCAGAATGCCAGCACTCTTGAGAACCTCCTGAGAATGACTGATCTGGAGCCAAGAAATTCACCCTTCAGACAGGGATGACACTGCAGGCACTTGAGGGGGCAGGGAGAAGTAGTTTGTAGGCTGGAACCAAGGATGCTTAAGTAGAGCGCAGCAGGAAGCAGAGTGACTGATGTCAGCTGATTTGTTTGCTGTCTATCCAACCTAAGTGCCATTAAGTAATAACATGGGTGTAATTGGCTGAGCACCATAAATGCAAATGTCTCTAAGGTACAGTGCTGTAAGTCAAGGACCGCCTATACGTGCATTGACATTTATTTAAGTGTATCTCCACAATGCTACAGGCAGCTCCCAATCAAAGCACGTCACCTTGCTTACAAACCAGTGGTTCCTGTGAATTACTGACATGCAGAGAATTGACTATGACGTTACATGAAAATATCTTGAGGAATATGAAATTTTAAGGTTGATTTGAAAGGCCCAATGCATGAATACACAATTAAGATAATTAACATAACCAAAGTCTTAAGTACACCACCCTAAACAGAGAGCTTATTCTTTTTTTTCTCACTATGTCATCCAGGCTAGAGTGCAGTGGCATGCTCACAGCCACTCTAGCCTCAACCTGCTGGGCTCAGCCTTCTGCCTCAGCCTTCCAAGTAGCTGGAACCGCAGGCATGCACCACCACGACCGGCTGATTTTTTGATTTATTGTAAAGATGTGATCTCGCCATATTGCTCAGGCTGGTTTCGAACCCCTGAGCTCAGGTAATCCTCTTGCCTCCACCTCCCAAAATGCTGGGATTATAGGCGTGAGCCACGGCGCCCAGCTGGTTTATTATTCTTACAAGGTAATCATTCAGCACCAGCCTCTAGCATAAAACTTAAAAGAAAAATTCACTATCCCTATGTGAAGAATTTGGCAGATGTTGATGAGACTTAAAACAGACAAGATAACTCCTCAAAGGAAAGACTACTACTTCTGCAAGTCACACAAAATAAAAGCAAAATATGAGGTGCTCCCCTTACTGAGTACTAAATAACATTTTATTTGCTTTGTAAAGAGATGCTTGTAGAGAATAAAGTACTAAAATGCAAGGAAGTTAATTGTCTCGAAAAAATTTGGATACATTTACTAGAATACAGATTTACTAGAATACAAAATACAACTATCAGTGTTCATTATTTAGTTCAAGTTGTTTCCAAAGCAACTTTGACAGTTAAAATAAAACTCAGAAATGGTCAGTTAGAAAAATGGGAAAAAAAAGACATAAAAATAAATGGACTTTGAATTGCTTTAGAAAGCATTAGTCTATGCAGAAATTTATGAGGGAAAAGAATAGGCACCTTGTTTAGGAATTTTGTGTATTAAAAATATTTAATTTTCAAGGGTGATACCCAAGTTTACATTAAATATAAAATAAAATTTGAATTGCTTTACATGGTGAAAGAAATAAATTTTTTCAAGTGATATCTATTTTTAGCATATACAAAGTGAGTAGAACTAATCCTATAATGAATCATGTTTTCTTGATACTGAGTCCAAGCAGAGACTTTGAGAACAACAGAATTATGATTTTTCCATTTAATGTGTCAAGCAAGTTGGCCAACTACAATATCACAAAACATGACAAAAACCTCTGCAGTGTAGCTAGAACTTGATTTTAGGAAAAGAAATAAAGTAGAGAAAGAATAAAGATAAAAGGAATTCAGGAACGAAAAGGCAATGACCTAAAATACTTCAGTTGCAGATTCTTACTACTTTTGGTCTGAAAAAAAAAAAAAAGAACATCTAAGGACACAGAATAAAAAGTTTCTGACATATGTCCCCATTTCAGGCTGGGAAAATGCTCCCCACCAATTCTGTAGGAATACACCATGTCATTACCTTTGGCTACGTCAGTGGCCCAGGTCATAATGTGTTCCATGTCCATCTCTTCACTTCTGTTACTGTTAATGTAGTCATAGAGTGATCCCAGAGAAGCATATTCTATTTTAAAGGGAAAGATAAGCAAATAGTTAAAACCAAGGCACATTTCAGAGTTTAACAAATAACATCAAACATATATAAAAATGGTTCCATGCTGTAGTTTCTAAAAGTATCACCCTGGAAAAAAAAATCTGTCAAACACAAGACCATTAATACAGAATGAATAGTAACTTCAGTTGAGAATCAAAAGACATTTTGATCATTAATAAGTAAAAAACAAACAAACAAAAAAACAGATGCTGGCATGGGTGCACAGAAAGGGGAATGCTTTACGATGCTAGTGGGAGTGCAAGCTAGTTCAACCTCAACAGAAAGCAGTGTGGTGATTTCTAAAAGAACTAAAAGCTGACCTTCCATATGATCCAGCAATTCCTTTCCTGGGAATATAGCCTGAGGAATTATAAATGGTTCTACCCAAAAGACAACTGCACACGCATGTTTATTGCCGCACTATTCACAATAGCTAAAACATGGAACCAACCCTACTGCCCATTGAAAGTAGACAGATAAAGAAAATGTGGTACATAAGCACATTGGCATATTATGCAGCCATAAAGAACAAAATCATGGACTTTGCAGCAAATTGAATGGAGTTGGAGACCATTATACTAAGCAATCTATCACAGCAACAAAGAACTGAATACTGCATGTTCTTATTCATAAGTGGGTTCTGAGCAATAGACACATGAACACAAAAGAGGATTGGCAGTCACTGGGTACTGCTAGGGGAAGGAGAGAGGGAGGATGGTGGGAGACATGTAACAATACAAAGGGTACCTGATAGCTGGGCTCGGTGGCTCAGCCTGTAATCCCACGCCTTTGGGAGGCTGAGGTGAGTGGATTGCCTGAGCCCGCGGGTTCGAGACTGGCCTGGGCAGTAAGACCTCATCTCTACAATAAATCAAAAAATCAGCCGGGCGTGGTAGCGCATGCCTGTAATTCCGGCTACTGGGAAGGCTGAGGCGGATGGATCGCCGGAGCCCAGCAGGTCGAGGCTGTGGTGGCCGGGAGCGGCCACTGCACTCCAGTCTGGGTGACCAGTGAGACTCCAACTAAAAAAAAAAAAGGGCCAACTGGAAGCCCAAACTTCACCTGTATGCAGCCTACTTATGTAGCTAATCCACACTTGTACTCCACATCTCTATAATAAAATAAAAATTTTTTAAAAGGTCACGTTTCTGGAACTGAAAACACAGAGAGGTGCTGGAAGAATAAATCTGAAACAAAGGTATTCATGCAAATAGATGTTTCTTTAAAAGTTGTTATTCTTATGAGATAGATATTATTAAATGCATAAATCAGAGGGTTTATGTGACAATGTAAACAAACCAACTTTGTTGCATTTATAAGAGCACTCAAAATTTAAGCACAAAAAGATCAAGAAAGTGAGAAAGTTCCTTTAAAAATGGTTTTACTGAAGTATATATTACACACCATAAAATCCACACACTGTAAATATATTGTTAGATGAGTTTTAGTAAATTCATGGAGTTGGGCAACCACCATCACAGTCCTACCTTAGAGCTAAACAACCAGCTCTCATTGGCAGTTCATCACCACTGTCACTCCCAGCCCTAAAATCTGCTCTTTCTCTACACATGTGCCTTTTTTGGATATTTCATATAAATGGAATCACTCAGGCCGAGCGCAGTGGCTCAAGTGCTGTAATCTCAGCACTTTGGGAGGCCGAGGCGAGAGGATTGCCTGAGTCCGCAGATTTGAGACAAGCCCAGGCAACATGTGAGACCTCGTCTCTACGATAAAAAAAAAAAAAAAAAAAAATTAGCCAGGCATGGTAGTGCGCACCTATAGTTCCAGCTACTTGGAAGGCTGAGGTAGAAGGATCGCCTGAGCCCAGCAGTTCAAGACTAGGGTAGCCGTGAGCGTGCCACTGCAATCCAGCCTGGGCATCGGAATGAGACTCCAACTCAAAAATAAACAAGCAAACAAATAAATGGAATCATACAAATTATGGTCTTTGTGTCTGACTTCATTCTCTTAAGCACAATATTTTCAAGGTTAATTCATGTAATACCATGTAGCAGTGCTTACTTTTTTGGTTTTTGTTTTTTTGAATGCTATTTCACTGTATGGATATACTACATTTGGTTTATTCATTCACCATGTGATAGACATTTGAATTGCTCCCAGTTTTTGGCTATTATAAATAATGCTGCTATGAACATTTGTGTACTGTCTATATGTGTAAATATGTTCAATTCTCTTGGGTAGATTCCAGACAGTGAAATTACACAGTCATATGGTAAGTTTGTGTTTGCCTTTGTTTTGCTTTGTTTTGTTTTTTTGAATTGGGGTCTCACTCTGTTGCCCAGGCTGGAGGGCAGTGGCATGCTCAAGGCAACCACAGCTTCGACCTGCTGGGCTCAGGCAATTCTTGTACTTCAGCCTCCTGAGTAGCTGGGACTACAGGTATGTGCCACCATGCCTGGTTAATTTTCAATTTTTTTTAGAGATGAGGTCTTGATATGTTGCATAGGCTATGTCTAATTTTTTAAGAAACTGTCCAACTACTTTCCAAAGAGGCTGTACCAATTTATATTCCTACCAGCAATGTATGGAGGTTTCAGTTTTTCCACGTCTTCTCCAACACATGGTATTGTCTTTTATTTAGATATTGATTTTGAGATAAAATCTCACTATGTTGCCTAGACTTGTCTCAAACTCCTGGGCTCAAGTGATCCTCCCATTTCAGCCTCCTGAGTAGATGGGATTACAGATACGTGCCACTGGACCAAAAGTAGTGTCTGTGTTTTTTTATTATGGACATTCTAGTTGGTATAATTCTAGTGGTATCTCATAGTGCTTTTAATTAATTTGCATTTCCCTAGTGACTAATATAGTTGAGCATTTTGTAATGTGCCTTTTTATTTTTTTTGAGTCAGGGTCTCAATCTGTTGCCGAGGCTAGAGAGCACAATCACAACTCACTGCAGCCTCAACCTCCTGGGTTCAACTGATCCTTCCACCTCAGCTTCCCAAGTAGCTGGACTACAGGTGCATGCCACAATACCTGGTTTATTTTTAAATTTTTTGTAGAGACGAGGTCTTACTATGTTGCTCAGGCCGTGTAATGTGCATATTAACTCCTTGTATATATTTCTAAGCAAAATGTCTGTTCAAAATTTTTGCCCATTTTAAAATTGGAATGTTTTATTGAGTTCCCAGAGCTCTTTATTCTAGATACAAGTCTTTTACAATATATATGATTTGCAAATATTTTCTCCCAGTCTGTCATTTGTCTTTTCATTCTTTTAATTTAATTTAATTTAATTTTTGAGCTGGAGTCTCACTCTGTTGCCCAGGATGGAGTACAGTGGCACGCTCACAGCCACCTTCACCTGCGGGCTCAGGTGATCCTTCTGCCTCAGCCTTCCAAGTAGCTGGAACCACAAGCGTGTGCCACCATGACCGGCTAATTTTTTGATTTATTGTAGAGATGAGGTCTCATCAAGTTGCCCAGGGGGTCTTGAACCTGCAAGCTCAGCCAATCCTCTCACCTTGGCCTCCCAAAGTGCTGGGATTATGGGTGTGAGTCACTGTGCCCGGTTGTTTATTCATTTTAATAGCTTTTTTGGGGGGGTGGATTCCATGGTATTTTATATATACAGCTTGTCACAAGAGAGTTTTACTTCTTCTCTTCCAGTCTGGATGCCTTTTATTTCTTTTTTTTTTGCTTGGTCACACTGGCCAAAATCTTCAAAACAATGTCAAGTAGATGTAAGAGTAGAAGCTCCTTGCCTTGTTCCCAGTCTTAGCGGGGAAACATTCAGGTTTTCACTAGTAAGTATGATATTAGCTGTGGCTTTTTGTAGACACTATTTATCAGGTTGAGAAAACTTCCTTCTATTCCTAGTTTGTTGAGATTTCTCATTATCAGTGCTGTTGTAGTCTGTCAAAAGTTTTTTCTGCATCTTGAAGTGATCATATAAAGTTTTTGTCTTATATCATATTATTTTATTATCTATTATGGTACCTTACATTAGTTGATTTCAGATGTTAAACCAACCTTGCATTTCTGGAATAAGTTTCATTTGGTCATCGTATTTAATCCTTTTTATGGGTGACCAGATTCAGCATGCTAATATGGTTAAAAATTTTTGAATATATGTTTATGAAGGATATTGATCTGTAGTTTTCCTACTATGTCTATGTGATTTTGGTATCAGGATAATACTATTTGTTCTTATACAATTTTGGCTTCTATTTTTTGAAAGAGTATGGGAAGAATTGGTATTATCTCTTCTACAAACATTAGATAGAATTCACCAGTGAAATAATTTTGGCTTGAGGTTTTCTTTATGGAAATATTTAAAATTACTAATTGAAAAAAATTTTGTATTTACTTTTTTTAGTTCTATTTATGTTTTCTGTTTCTTCTTGAGTCAGTTTTGAACATCTGTAAATTTTAAAAAAATTTGTTCATTGCATCCAAGTTGTCTAATTTTTTGGTGGGAGATGATCATAACACTCCCTCATAATTCTTTTAAACTTCTGTACGAGTCATAGTGCTGTCACTTCTTTCATTCCCGATTTTGCTAATCTCTATCTTTTCTCTTTTCTTGGTCAATCTAGCTAAAGGTTTGTCAATTTTACTGATCTTTTCAAAGACCAAACTTGTAGTGTCACTGATTTTCTCTACTATTTTTCTGTTTTCTATTTTATTGGTTCTGTTCTTTATTATTTCTTTTCATTGACTTACTTTGGTTTTATATCTTTTCTTTTTGTAGTTTCTTCAGGCTGAAGCTTAGGTTATCCATTTCAGACCCTTCTTCTTTTTACATAGTTGTTGAAAGCTATAAATATTCCTCTCAGTATTGCTGTATCTGCATTCTATAATTTTAATATTCTATAATTTTGATATGTCACATTTTCTTTTTTTTTTTTTGAGACAGGTCACATTCTGTCACCCAGGCTGGAGTGCAGTGGCATGATCATAGCTCCCCGCAGCCTCAACCTCCTGGACTCAAATAATCTCTCATC